CATTTTGTTACAAATGGGAAGAGAAATATGCTGGATTCCTCCTGTGAGTGTGTCAGGCACCATTCCTTCTTCCACATCATAGAATCGTACTGAATATCTCAATTCCGTAACATCAGCGTAATTTTAAATTCGAACCAATGATTTATTGAAATTTGCGATACATATTTATAGATGCCATTCTTTGTAATCAGATAGATAGGATATACTTCAGCAGCCGCAGTTTTAATAGCTGCTACGATTTTCTCATACAACCCATCATAAATCATCATATACATATTTTTATTTCCGCTTTGGTTGGTTAGCAAGATAAGTGACTTGCATGGATCCGCGTCCTTTAAAGTCATGTCATATGATTTAAGGAACGGTCGGCGGTCGACTTTATGAAAGCATCGATATCCGGGTTCCGGAATGCTATTTTTAATCTCATGATATATCGACTGCATGCAACCTGGTTCAAGTTAATCGTGAAATATTATTATGTCACGGAGAGCGCACGTTATAATATCGAATAAAAAAAAAAAAACAAATTATAAAGCAGGAAAAAACTTGCCGTATCTGTGAGCAAAAAGAGCCTTTGCGAAATTGTTGATTGCGTCCGACAGAATTAGAAGATATCATCATTAAGACATTAATCTTTCACGAGATCCCTCTCTTATTGTGGTTATCGATTTATCGAACGACATACACAAGAGGAGTTGAAATTAATGTCTGAAGGAGGAAGTGGACCCATTACGACGACCAAATCCATGGCTTCAATTCAACCACGACGATCATCAAGACAAAGGACTCATGTCCCTCAAAGACGCCAAATCAGATATCCCGTTGGGTTTCCTTCTCCCCGCACCTGCGTTCGATGTTAAACCACATTTCATACTAATCACGCTAGTTTACAATACCACATATTTCATATTTCCATTATACGTAATCTCATTATGCGTTTTGAGAAAATTACAATGGGAATGTGAGTGAATTATGATGTTTTCGGTTCTAACAGATCTTAAAACAATCTAGAAAATTGTCTATTAGAATATTTTGTATAAGTACACTCCAGTGATTGTAAATATAATATTTATTTAAAATTTCTATTAAAATTTTAAAGAATACATAAGCAATACATAAGGCAAGATAATTTTTGCATTAAAAAAATTGTCCATAACATCTTAAAAATCATGCATTTCATATTTATTCTGTTTTTGTCTCGACTATCTTTCTTTATATATATATATATATATTAGGTGTAGTAAAAAGAAATCCATTATTTTTCCATTCAATTTCATGCAAAAATAATGCATTTCTTTTTACTACACCTAATACACACACACACACACACACACACACACACACACACACACACACACACACACACACAGCATTTTTAAAAATAAATTTTTAAAGACATTATCATATATCTTTATACGTATAATCTTTTCTAAAGCTCAATAATGCTTTCAATTATAATTTCAAAATGTGAATTGAATATAGTAGTATATTAACTCTATTCAAATGCAAATCTGATCGTTTTATTTAAAGATTGATCGACTAAAATGACTGTACGCAAACAAAGCAAATAATAATCGTTTTATTTTCAAATTTATTTTCTGGTTCAAGACATTTCTTCATGCACATCTCATGGACTTATTTAGTCTTCTTCCCAATTCAAGTTTTATCTCGGCACGAAATGGCTTTTCCGATCCAATAAAGTGCGCCGCGTTAATTATCGGAATTTCGAAGGGTAATTCATTAATATTGCTCTCTAGCGATGGTGTGCGAATCGATACTGCTGCCGCAAGAAAGAAAATGAGAGAGAGAGAGAGAGAGAGAGAGAGAGAGAGAGAGAGAGAGAGAGAGAGAGAGAGAGAAGGGGAGAGGAAAGAGAGATTTTTCCTCTCCTATAAAAAAATCAACAACTAGATGTTGATAATCGACTCTTTTATGTTTATCTTAGCAGCTTTTGCAACATGTTTTCGTGCATTTCCGATGTCAGCGTTGCATTGATCATGGATAGGAAAAAATGCTCTCAGACATTGATAGCGCAGTGCAGCTTCGCAGAGAACGTCGGTACTCGCTCGGCAGCTCTATCAAAATTACTTCGCGGCGTTCGACTTTTCGTCGTCATCAATCTTTCCCGGTTTGACTGCTAACGCGATAATGCAGTTACGCCATGCATCAGGATGAGGCGGATATATAGACCCGGTCAGCCTGTCAAATTCGTCATAAATAATTGAATTAAAAGCAACGACGTCATGAGTGAATTTGCGGATCCCCAATCGGCGGAATTTCTGAGTGATTTTATCTAACCGATTTGCGACAGTCTCGTTCGCGGCATTTGAGATTTGAATCGCTTTTTATCTCGGATGGAGTATCGGAAATAATCGCTCTCTTGAGATTGTTGCGTTTATCCGGAAATAACGTGTTGAATTTTTGATTACTATTTATACCCAATTGACTGTTATGAATATATTATATATGTAATATATACTTCCTACTATCATATGCAACGTATACTTCCTACTATCTTTAAAATATATAAGACTATATACAGAGGACTAGCTTTTATAAATTATCACAAAATTTCAAAAATATAAATGACATTTCCTAATAATTAAAGAAATTTACATGATTCTTCAGTAATTAATAAAATTATATATATAATAATTACAAAACAAAAATATAAAGTTTTTTGTTTTGACATAATAAATCCTTCAATCAGTTTAATAAGCATCATTTAATTACTAATTATTAATGTATAGCGTATATCAAAATAAACAGTAAATTATAAATTATAAATTTGAATATGAATAAATTGATTTCTAATATAATTGATATATATTTTATCTTCGGTTTATTTGTAGTCAAGTAAAATTTCTCTGAAAAATCCATTAATTTTTTCAATAATTTTACAACAAATCTTTCATAAAATGGATCACGATATTATATCGTTTATTTTATTACTTTTACAAATTATATTTTTTTGGAAAATAATTTTGAAATTATAAGATATTATTTTTTCTCCATTTCAGCTATTGAAGTTTAATTAGATGAGTCATAAAGCTTCATAAGCTGATATTTTCTCATTCGAAACTATATGAACAGAGTTTGTAAATTACCTAACCATCAAATAACATTCGTTAATAATGTAATTTAATTATTTTAACTTGTAATTTATCAGAGTTAAATTTCGTTAAAATTGAGAATTTCGACGTTTTGCAAATACAAGCGAGTCCGTTGTTTTGCAGTGAAATATGAAATTTCGCGATGTAAGCGCGATATCTTGCATTACAATTTAGAAATCGTAATTAAATAAAATGGTCAAATTATATAAAATAATAGCAAAAATAAATAAAAGCAAACAAATTAATTAATTAATTGCTCCGATAAACATTTTCGAAATTGGAAATCCAAATAAATATAGATATACTATTGCCATTGTTAAAAAAGGAATAATACATTCCCAATGAAAATTAAATTTCATATAACTATAGAGATCGCGTTGTGAACGTATTGATCATACATCATCAAAATCTGTTGAATTTGACGTTGAGATGAAGGTTTAAAATAGAAAGTTTGGAAACACCATTGTTATTCGATAATATTGAACAATAACAGACTTTTGGTCATTGACATCTGATCCTATAAAGTTTATAATGATGAAAGCTACGATGGCTAATACTGTGTGAGCTTAGGTCGCTACTATTATGTGAAAGTTTCTAAGTTCTCGTACTAAATCGTCATCGTTACAAGGATGTCCTTTCGAATTGGGACAGATTTGTCGTGGTCATCGGCTTTTTACCGACATCAATCTTGCACGGTCCTATGAGCGATTTAACGTATCGATGCCAAATATAAGATGATGTAATAGTGATTCGTAGAAGAGATGTCTCTAGCACCATTTTTTATTCTTTCATCTTAATGTAAGATATTGATGGTCAATCGAAATAAGGACGATAAGGGATAAAATCGATCTTTTGGAAAAAGTCGGAGACTTGATAAAGACATCTCAAGCAGACGCCATTACTGCATCTATCTGTATCCAATACGAGCTCGTCGTTTCTGTGGAATCGCATACCGATTGCTGTGCTCTCAGCAAGATTCAATGCGTCGCGATCATTGATCGTCTTACCACTTCGAAGCGTCAGAGAGGATGTGCGAAAGGAGGCCATTACGCTCGTGTACATGAATAAATTTGTATGGAGTTGTTCTATAGTTACACGGACAAGATTAACCATGTACTACGTTCGTGTTGTTATTGCGTAGGCATTAGCATAACTTCTCATATACGTGTTATCCCTACGTAAACGATTTATAATAAAGTATCATGAAAATAAAAGTGTTTTTCTTTAAAGAAGATACTAAAATAATTATAATATTCTAAGTAAATTGTTGGAATTGATCGGAAAGTATTTCTAATAAAAATTAGAAGAAAATTTATCGAATATGACAATTTGATACTTCTATCGAACTTTATAAATGTTTTAATGATATTTTTTTCGATTCTCATCAAGAAACGAGTAATATATTACGTTAATATCTTTAATATTAATTAAATTACATACATAATTAAATATTCGCATCAGTGGATAATTATTTCAAATAAATTAGTTGCATCTTGGAATACATATAGATATATCAGTTTCTTTTGCTTCATAACGGTCGTGATAATTAACATATATATTCGTATCGATGAGTAATTATTTCAAATATATTTGTTGCAACTTGTTGGAGTACATCATACATTGTAACTTATTTCACCTTGTAGATGTCGCTCTACATGCGAATATGAATTTTACGTCTTTCTTTATGAGATGTATAGAAAAATACAATAAGGATTTCGAGAAGAGAATCGCATCTACCAAAAAAGGTACAATAATCCCAGAGAAATCAATTCATTATACTTGAAAGCTTCGATTACGATTCGATTCGCCTATATTCGTTGAAAATCGTCGCTTCTTTTAAGAGTTTCTCGCAACAGCTCAAAGGGTTACACATAGTTGTTTTCTTACCTCGGCATCGGAAACGGTCCTCTCCGCCAAATTGCGAACTTTGCAGTGTAGAAAGGCAGTGCCGCCCAATTGTACCGTGACATTAGAAACGGTGTTGTTGTCGTTCGCCTCGTTCACTCTCTGCAGTTCGTCGAGATTGCTGAACCAAAGGGCCTTCCAATCCGACGGGATGTTATAGGGCACGCGTCGATCTAAGAGAAGAAAGATGACCAGCGGGTATAATCACAGTAATTTAATTAAGTTGATTGTCTTGGCAAGGGGGAAACTCGACAAATGACGCCGCAATTACAGAGCAAGGCTATCGCCAGCTTTGCCGTCGGCAGCAAACTTTTTTATCAAGGCAAAGAAAAATAAAAGTTAAAGGCAGTAGAACGAAGGGAGAAAACGAACGCGAAACCAAGCCTGAATTCCGCTTGTTTTACCCCGACCCTCGTGAATTAGAAACTACTTTCCACACTCGGGTCCTTTCTGAATTACTCTTGTTATTAAATTTTTTAAGAAGACGACCTGTGTTCTCGCGTGCTTTGCTCATTTCCTTCAATGTAAATCACCGGGGAAATGTGCGAGTTATGGAGCAGTTTGCACATTGCCATAACGACGTCTTGCGATATTATTTGAACAGTGTCTGCAGAAATACGAAAAAAAAAGTTCTTGAACCAAATTACGTCCATCTAATTAATTTTATTTTTTTTAAATTCTATTTATTGAAATAAACTAAGTGAAAAAATATAATCTCTGTTCTATTTACTCACAAAAGTATCTTCTAGATATATAGAATTTCCGTAAATAAATATCGTTTAAAAGAAAATTTTTAACTGTAACATTGAGTTTTTTTTTTTATTACATTCATATGAATATAAGAATTAAATAAAAAATAAATAAAAAATAACAAAGAAACTAAATATTATCTTTTTACATAAATCAGTTTTAAAAGGAATAATTAATCATAAAAAAATCCCTTAAGATTTACTCTTTTCTTAAACATTATAATACAATATAATACAAAGCTCTGATTTGATCTAAAATTAATCTTTTAATCTTTGGAAATTTCTAATAATTTGAATGCAATTTTAGTTTTTTTAAAATTTGCAGCATTGAAAATCTTTATTCTCTGAGTCCCACTCTAAGCCCCACACATATAAACAAATTATATATATATATATATATATATATATATATTAATGATCATATAACAATCACAAAAATGGACATTATTTAAAAAGAATGTTTCTAAAACAATATATTTATTATAAAAAATCGATTTATTTGTTTCTTTTCTATAGCTAAGAAGTTGAATATTATATTATATAAAATAATGTATACCTGGCAAACTTTGAAACAAGTTGTCATAAAAATAGTTCATATATATGCATTTCATCACAAGTTTTTATTACATTAAATAAACGTGTTTCTGCTGATTCAAATTCTCTAGTCTCTTTTCATCTATTTCCTATGGAACACTTTTAGCATAAAGAGCGTTTTTAAGTAATAAATTTAAACGTGTGCTATTTAAGCTGGACCTTATTCGGCTCAGGTACTTTATATCCAAATAAATTTATGAAAAATAAAAATTTATTGATTCATCAAGAATGTACTTTGTAATTTAATGTGCGGTTTAAAAATTGGCGATGGTTTAAAATTTTTTTTATTTTAGATGTGTTTTGACTCTCGGGAGCCATTGTTTTCCGCATTCTATGTCCATTAAAAAAAAAAATTGCATAGTGTGGTTTTCACTTGATCGCGGTACATGATGCATATCCACGATATCGAAAGCGATAGTATTTTGATTGCGATCGTTTAAATAATGCGAGTGCATGCTTCGCTACACCGCTTCAACAGACGAAATTCCCAATATTTGTGATACAGCCGAAAGAATAAAAGACGCAAAAGAATTTTTTTTCCTTCATGCGCGCACGCTTTGTTAAAATTTTCATGGATACGACCTATTTCCGAGCAGCGCAGGTGATTTAGAATGTTTGCCCTCGACAGCAGATTACAATTCAAGGAGACTGCGCTACTGGTGTGGTAAGCTCGAATGTGCCTGCTTCTCGTCCTGACCTCATTTGAATAATCCATGGATACATAACGGACGTACATGCCTTTTATGCCATGCGAACGCGTTCATATAAAAAAAGAGAAAAAAAGGAAAAAAAGATATGCGTGGTTGGACGCAGACGCGATGCGCTCTCGAAAACGCGATGGTTCATATCACATTTGCAAAACTTTATTCATGTTATCCTCGGAATTACTACAGAACGAATCTTTCAACACTCACAGTTTTGCTCCAAAAAGAGGAAACTTCCAAATCAAATTTCCGCTAGAAAGATTTTTGCAAATTTTATCAAATATAAAATATATATCAATTTTTTTCATTATTTAAAGAACAAAAGAAAAATTATAAAATAGGTATTAGGGCTGGTATTTGTAATAGGCTCTTAAAATCATCTTAAGTAATGTCTTAAGATGTTAATGTTGATCTGTGATTGGCTTACGATATCTTAAGACTACTTAAGACGATTTTAAATATAAGAACCGACTGGGAATACCGATTTACATTTTTTAAAAAACATAATACATGTTCGTACAATGCACATCACATAAAGATTCTACTTTGCCATTATTCTTATCCCATACATAATATTCTAACATATATTCAATTTTGATTTAAATTGGATTGATTTAAATTGGATGATCTTATTTAATGTGTTTGAAGAACACTCTAAAAGATTGGATTTTTTCTCAGATTTCTAAATTGGAAAGCTTTACATAGGTCAAATTAACCTAATTTCAGATATTGACATCTCCGATAAGTGCTTATAAAAGTTCTAAGTTAGAAATCAAATTTTCGATAAGTCTTGAGTTAAAAAATCAGATATGATTGTCTAAATGAAGTAGTTATTAAAACTTGTAAAATTACATAACGTTAAATTAGAAACTGCATTTCTCTCTTTTTCTTTCTCTTTCCTAAAAGAAAATAGATCTAAAATTATAAATGTGAAAAGTATTAAATTCCAATATGATTCTTTGTTTAAATTAGAAACTGCAGGATGCAGGATGAAATGAGAATCTTTCTCATTGTCAGAACTAATCATATAAAAGAAATATCTTTATTATTACTGACCATTTTATCTTATGTTACAACATTCTATTGTTGTTCATATAAAACCGAAAATTTATTATCACGAAATGGTAACAATGCGATGTAAAATCATTGCTTTGTTAAGTGTATTCGGTGAAGTGCGCGCGAAATAAGATATGCTCTATAGCATGAACGATAATGTATCCGTACAAATATCTTTAATTCGAAAACAGATATGTTATACGAAGGAAAGTTCAATTCGCATGATCCGTGCAAGGAAGGCATTCATGTTACTACCCTCACGTGGGTCTTCCTTTCACCAGGGATTCGATTCGGCCGTGGAAAAGTTCGGCATTCTAAACGCCTTGCATCTCGATTCTATCTTGTATATAGGTGTGGCGGCAAATCGAGTTCTAGAAGCCTGAAAATAGCGAGCGCGTGTTTGGCCGCTACTCGTATTCATCAAAGTATCGATGCGGAACTGGAAATACGAGGGTTTCCACGGATGCCAAATTTCGAAAAGTCTTTTAACCGCATGTAAAAAGAAACGGCAAATAAACGGGAAATTTAATCTCCGGATCTAAAGTTAGGTGAAGTTAAATGAAAACTTCGTTAAAAACGCGTTATTTAATGAAACGAGGAGGAGGAAAAATATATTTCCAGAAGGAAAAAATATATAAATCACATTGCTAGTTACTTAAAGTCCGAAATTGATATTTTTCTTGCAAACATGCACATGCGGTCATGGCAATCTGACGCTAATCTTATTTTAAACAACGTATGATATTTATTTACAGCCTTCCACGTTATTCTGCATATCGTGCCAGTTTCTCAATTTTGCGTTGAATGTTGCACTTGTTTTACGATAACGAAGTTTCAACACTTTATTTAACCAGAAGCGAATTATTTAGATCGAAGCATCAGGTATTCGCTGTTGCGAGTTTCCGTTGTCTAATTTAATGCTAGCAAACATCATTGTATGCGGCATAATGAATGAAAATAATTAATTATAATGCTACGGTAATACAGAATGTATGATTGTTGTGGATTCTGTGTTCAGCATTCATCATGTAATAATCCTCGCGGTAAATTATCAGGTAAATTATGGAATACAGATTTGGGTGTGTATGTGCGTCGAGCATTGGGGAATTCACTTTTCGTTTTAAACACTTTTAAATACTTCAAAGATTCGAGGCAATAAAAACTGGTTCCATTGCTATGTTATCAATCTACGCTGGATAGAAACTTTCCATTAACTCCAACATGAATGTAGCGTACGAAAGTTTTACGTATAGTTTACTATTCTGGTTAGTTGGATGCTGCATTACACTGTAATGGATAGTTCTAAAAAACAAATCTCTAAAATCATTTCTAAAAACAATAGAATCCTATGAGAAAAAGAAGCATTTTTTTGATGTTTGCATTTTGCAATAGAAATTTATTTCCAACATATTCCTAAATTGCACTATATTGATATTTTACTTCAATATAGTAATTAAATTAATGAGCCAACTTAATTATTCAACTAAAAATTTACTGAAACTCAATTTACTGAAAAGTATTATGTAAATATTTTATAATTTCAAACATTTTATTTTGTCGTTCTAATATATTATTTAATATTAAGTTGACCCATTAATTTGATATTAAGTAAAATATCAAAATAGTTTAACAATCGATAAACAAATCGAAAACATCTAAATTAGTTTCTATTATAAAATGCAACGTTGAAAAATGCTTCTTTTTTAATCAAGTATATTGAATTAATTGTTGAATTCAAGTTTTTTATGCATGAATCTTAAGACTAGTCTTAAGAATGAATTGGAGAATCTAAATTGATAACGATTACACAAGTAAATAGACGAAACGCTCTGTTTTTAAAGTATCATAAAAAAAAAGAGTAATAAGTCGACAGTAATTTATTCTTATTTCATTTGCTCATTGTATAACAATGTTTTACAATATTTGCTCATTGTACGATTGCGCACGATTTGACTTGTCAGTCGATTATCTATGTTGAAAGCATAATGGAGGCCTCAAGAAAACAAAGGGGATTCGCGTTTTGCTATGGTAAAAGGGGCCGCGCGCGCGGATGCATATACGCAGGCAAAA